AACTTTGCTGGAACATTTAAAAGACTGAACAAGATTTATATCTGCAACAAATAAACGACAACTGTCCACTGCAGGAACTTGGAGCAGTTTCCTCAGGAATGGATTAGCAGGCCAAAGACAGAGCTCTGCACGGGCAGGAAATACCTTGGCATCCACAAACAGACTGCCTGTGAACATCATCTCGTGTTACACCCCCAACAAACCAGACTGCCAGCTCACCAAATGTACCCAGGCATAAAAGAAAACACATGCAGACAGACATCCTTCCCCAGCATTAATGCCTGAATTATGTTTCTGATGTAATAAAGTTACAGGAAGACTGCAGATGTGAAATGGCTAAAGATGGTATTCTGAAACATAGACACAGAGTCTGAAAGGTGTAGCCAATGTGGAAGTGCTGTAAACCTGCATTCTTTTATGGCCAACAGAAAGATGTGGGAAGAATGATCTCTCAAATGATCTCTGATCTTCTATAAACACTCTTCTAGGGAGTTTATCATTTTAAACACTAGTTTCAAGAGTTCTTTGCAATATGATATTCATTTGATCAAAACAAAAAAACTTGTAAAGTAGCTTGTCTGATGGCCCTCCACTCCTCAGTGGTTCTTTCCGCTTCTCTCGTCTGTCCTCTTTTTTTTCTCTCTCTCTCTCAGTATGTTTGTGTGAGTGTGTTTGGGTGTGTGTATCTAACCACACCCTTTTCTTGCAGGAGTGGAATAGCTTTTGGTTTCCTGCCGTTTGTTTCTACAGACCTGAGGCTAATAAGCTCTCTTGTTTGTCATCAGGTGATTGTCTCACCACTATTTTGATTGAGGAACGCCTTCTGTTGTTGACTGAGTTTTAAGCTATGTTAGTCAAACTGGCTCCTCATGTGGTAAGTATGATCTGCTTTTGCACCTTGCCTGCAACTTACCAGTTTTCTCCTCTGCATAGAACACCTGGTTTTGCCCTTGTGAGAGAGAATATTCTGGTAAAGTATCTGTGGAGGAGATTTCTGACTTGGACCTGAAGCCAAGTGGACCCTCTCAATATTGTAAATTAAGTTAATTAAGTCGCTGAAACTGATCTCTCAGAGTCCTGTGTTTGGGTCCAGTCTGCACATTAGTTATGACAGAGTGTGCTTACCATTGGACTGACAAGTTTCTAGGCATGTATGCAGTGTCTGCACATCGTGGACACACAGGCATCTTGTTTTAATGACACAAAACAATAATTTTCTTTTAATGATGATTTTAGGTGGTTTAAAAATGATCTGCTTTAGGTTTCAAAAGATAAACCTTTTCCAATGGTAGACAGCTTGAAAACGACAAAAGTCCAGATTCTATTTCATTTTAAAAAGGACAAAAAGCACTCGTAGAATTAAATTTGATATACAGTACATGAAATCTGAGCTCTTGTGCTAGTAGCAGAATTCTTCTGATATGTCTGTTGGGGTACATCTATTATATTGTTGTGCTATAAATATAGCAAACAAAAGTTATCACCACTTAAACTATAAAACAAGAATTCTCATTCAGGGACTTTGATCTGTCATTTACACCACTGAGGGGCAGTAATGTTCTAACATCCAGTCTAAGATCACAAAGAGCCAAAGGGCTCTTGATAGGTAACTGTGCACCTCAGTTTTGAAACCCCAAGGTCCTGATGGTATGCAACATCAAGTATGAGCATGAAAACAAAAGAGGGTAGCAGCACCATTCTGGATCATACAGGCGATCTACCTTGCTCTTTCACTCATCTAATTATATTTGAAAAGATTAGCTGAAACATTTGTGCACACACACAAAGTCTGGAGTTGACAGAATGCCTTGTTAAACTGTCAGACCTGCGTTAGTGCGTCACTCACAGATAACAAACTGTGAGGTCTTATGACCAGGATGTCATCAGTCTGTCAGTGTCTAAATGCCTGCATAGATCGAAAAAAGAGTGAGTCAAACTTTTAACAAAGAGGCTTAGGTGCACGCACCGCCTCACTTGCAACCCCCATCAACCTATCTATCTCTGTCTATATATGTACATATACACACTTATTTACCGTTTCACTCATGCTTGTTTGACTGACACCTTAATCTGAAATGCCTGTCATTTGCCCTAAGCGTTCAGAGGCTGGCTGTCAAGATTGCTTTCCATGATACACATACAGTATTTAGCAGCAAATTAACTCCTGTGGCATTTATCGGAAGAGGTAACCTGGAAGCAAAATGTTATGAAATCTTCTAAGAAAAACCATGGGAAATGGATGCCAAGGGAATATGATTGAATTACAACATAATTAACAAATTAAATCAACCACAGCAAAGAAAATATCATACCGAGTGTGCAGGGAGACCGTGGGATTTAAGCTACACTGTCGACTGTGCCTAGAAGGAGAGCTGAGGTCTGACAGGAGTGGGAGATGATATGGAGTACTGTTGGAGCCTCTGGGCTTGGATTGGAAGCAATGTTTCTATCAGTCTGTCAGTCTGACCTTCCAGCCTGTGGGATATGCTGCTCAGTCACAAGGAAGATCTCCCTCCAATATGCAATATGTGTGACAGACTGAGACCTGCCAACTAAGCTGCTGATGCAGTGCTCACTGAAGTCATACCTGTGGTTTGCAAACTTTCCAATGTAATCAAATGCATTTCCGTTGCAGGGATAATTATTATTAAATGGTGAAAAAACAGCTTTACTTTTATTCATTCATTCTTGATTTAATGTTTATTTATTTAACTGATGTGCCACCCATCCTCTAGTCAAACCCAAGATTCCTCTTTAATGAAAAGCAGACATCAGAATTAAGGACAGGTACAAGCACACACACTGATGATAATTTGCCACCACATGTTTGAGCTCAAGTCACAACATAATCCTCAACTGCCAGAAATCCAGACCCACCAGGTATAAATGTAAATTAGTGGTGTGATTGTAAAGACTGATTTTATTCTCGTAAACACTATGCTAGTGTTTACGAGATTAAATATCATGGGTGATATCAGGAACTGTTTACAAAAGCAGAAACATACTTGTATGGCTTTGATGTGTCAATTATTCACGTCACAGCGTTGCAGGAAGCTGTCGGGCATTTGTGAGCAGAGACCTGTATTAAATGGTGCTTAGAATCATACACATTAACAAGCTGGAAATTTTCTTGAATCAGATTAATATCCCAGACAGCAATATGAAAAACTGTCATAAATTACATTACAGAAGCTTTCAGAAAGAGATAACATCCATAATTTGAATACAATAAGATTAAAGTATTTTTTTAAGCAAGAGGTTCTTTTGTCTGGGAGAAAAACATGGATGTAATAAAGTTGTTTTATCACGTCAGATGGCTTGGGATAACGACATTTCAGAGGCACATCACATGAATAATGCATGCTGAAGAAACAGGCAGGATGATATTTGAATGTACGTTTATTTAATGACACCAAGCCTCAGATTTCCCATGGTACTTTTTAGTCACATCGCTTTGTTTTCAAAAGGGAGCATGAATAAAATGGCCCAGCTCCAGCCCAACATTGTTAGTGCAATACTGCTATCTCCAGCTGGTATCAGGTTATGAACTGAATGATTCCTTCACAACCGTGCTGTATATTCACAACAATTGATTGCACAATTATCCATTATGTATTGAGCAGAGCAGGATGTGCTGCCACACTGTTATTGTGTGTCTTCCTACAAGGGGGTTGAAATCTGCAAAGCCAGATAAGAGTGCCGGCCGGACTGTCCATTCACAAATTTCTCATGAGGTCACTCAACTGTTGGATATTAAAAGCCAGTGGGGTGGCTGTGGTAGTGCTGGTAGAGGACGGGCAGTAAAAACAGTAATAACCCAGAGGATGTTTTTCTCACTGTCATGATAACACTGCTAGTTCCTTCCTTAGAAAAAGGAATGTCCAGGTACTGTAAATACACTTCATATCAAGGAAAAGAAGACTATCGGTGTCACAATTACCTCTT